GAACCACAAGATCATGACCTGAGCCGAAGCTGGACGCTTAACTGACTGAGCCACCCATGTGCCCTGAAATAATAATTCTTAATAGAACATAAAACTACATTAAATCAAACACTTATTATAAAGATAATTTGTGTCTATCTAAAACTGGGGATGTGCCGTCTGCGCCGAGAGGTCCTCCTTCTGGGTAACGCGCTGGAGAAACTTCTGCATGGGACCTGCCCCAGGTAGGGACCAAACACCCACCACCATGAGAGAGCTTAGGTCAGATGTACTGTGTCCTTGCTGTCGAGTGTGATATGTTCGGCATCAGGCGTGGAGTGGAGCCCTCCATATCGGGGGGATCCAACTCAAGTCCTAACGTGGGGGCTTGTAGAGCAGAGCGGGGCTAAGGTGCTCCGGGCACACCTGATCCCCAGGATCATGCATCCTTCCGGGTCCCTGCTCGTGTGTGGGAGGCAAACCCACCGCAGATCTGTCCACCAGCCTCCGAGCTGAGGGAAGACACTGAGGGCTGGGAAGGGGACTAGGGAGCATTAGCTCTATGTATTGTTTATCTAGCGATCATCTATCTGTCTATCCATCCGTCTTCTACTTACCTAGTTATTCACCTACTGTGTAATGTCCCCCTATCTCCCCGTCAAGTGTGGAAGGAAGAGGTACTGAAACCCTCTCCCATGGCTATCATCGTTGATCCCTTGTGATTTTACCCATTTATTCTCCATATTGTTCCTGACTCCATTGCCATCCTTTCCCCATAGGCATCTGTATTATATGGTTGGTGTCTGTCTTTCTTGTGAGCAGCGTCCTCAGTAGACATACAGCACTGTTTGGGTGTGTTTTCGCTTCCCTAAATGTGTTATGCTGTGGCAGGGAGTCGGGATGTGTTAGTCTAGGTTCCCCAGAGAAACGGACTCAGTGAGGACACATCACGTATGTGAGGTACACAGACGTGGGAGTTCTGTATGTAAAATATATAAGAAATTACATATCAGATATAAGAAATTGTGTGTGTGTGTGTGTGTGCACGCGCAAAATTGGCTCATGATTACGGAGGCCCAGACATCCAGTGGCTGGAGACTGGGGGGCCAACGCTGCAAACTCCAGTCTGAGTCTGACCCAAAGGCAGGAGCAGACCAATGTCCCAGCTCCAGGACAGACAGGCCAAGAGCCAATCTGGTCTCCCTCTGCCCTGTGCTCTGGCCTGGCCACAGCGGGTTGGACGAGGCCACCCATCCTGGAGAGGGCCATCTGCCCTGCTCAGTCTGCTGAATCAAATGTTTATATCATCTGGAAACACTCTCACAGACATGCCCAGAATAATCTTTGAGCAAATTATCTGGGCCCCCTGTGGCCAGTCCAGCTGACACATAAAATTAATCAGCACACCATTTACCCAGTTTCTAGGCCGACCCAGGTTGTTGCCCCACAAAATGATGAACAGGGCCCCCTGTCTGCCAGGGTGTCCCAGTCTGCATGGCCAGTAGTGCCCTCACTGCTCCACTCGACATGGCCAGTCCCTGGCTACCCGCTGCCGGGTATAGCTCTTCACCCCTCCACAGGGTGTCAGGATGGGCGCCCTGGAAGGAAGGGCCAGCTCAAGTCCCTTTCCCACAGGTCTGGCGTGGGTTTATGTGGTCATGGGGCGTGGGCATCCCTGTGCCCCTGACCTGTGCACCAGCACTTGGTGGTTCCCGCTCTCTGCTGCCCACTGCATGGGGGTGCAGAAGTAAGAAGTTACTTCCATTTCCATTCTTCTGACCACAAGTGAACTCAAGCACCTTTTTTGTTTCTTTAGGAATTCTTTTAACGGGGCACCTCGGTGGCTCAGCTGGTGGAGCGTCCAACTCTTGATTTCAGTTCAGGTCATGATCCCAGGGTCATGAGATTGAGCCCCCATTGGGCTCTGCACTGAGCATGGAGTGGGTTGGGATTCTCTCTCTCTCTCTGCCCGTTTCCCCTGCTTATGCTCACTCTCTTGCTCTCTTTCTCTCTCTCAAAAAAGAAAGAAAAAAGAATTTTTAAAAATATTAAAACAATTTTTTTAAGTGTTTGTTTTTGAAAGAGAGCAAGCACAAGCAGGGGAAGGGCAGAGAGAGGGGGACACAGAATCTGAAGCAGACTCCAGGCTCTGACCTGTTAGAACGGAGTCTGACACAAGGCTTGAACCCACACATTGTCAGATCATGACCTGAGCCGAAGTCAGACACTTAACCAACTGAGCCACCCAGGTGGCCCTGGAGCTTCTTGCACATTCTGAGTGGTACTTCTTTGCTGTGTTAAACATGGCAAGTACCTCCTGACCCGTCCCTGGCTGCTGGCTTGTCTCGCTGTCTTTCATGGAACAGATACCATTCATTTTGACAGAATCAGACCCATCCGTGTTTCGCCATAAGGTCTGTGCTTTTGAGGTTTTGTTTAAGAAATCCTTTCTCCCTGCTGGGAAATAAAACCTCCTTATCTGCTTTAGACACTATAGTATTCTTTTCCAACTAGCTTTCCATTCATCTAGCAGCTCATTTTATTTCTTTAAAACTAAAACCTCAGGAGCACCTGGGTGGCTCAGTCGGTTCTGTGTCTGACTCTTGGTTTTGGCTCAGGCCATGATCTCTCAGTAGATTAGTGCCATCAGTGCAGAGCCTGCTTGAGATTCTCTCTGCCCCTCCCCCCACTCGTATGGTCGCATGTGCGCTCTTGCTCTCTCAAAATAAATAATCCTTAATAAATAAATAAAACTTCCACAAGAGAACATGACAAAATATTAATAATTAATTCAGGAGAGTGGAATCAAGATGGATGTTACAGTGCTTTTTTATAGTTTAACATTTATAAACTTTTTTCTTTTACTTTTTTTAAGCATTTATTTATTATTGAGAGACAGAGAGAGACAGAGCATGAGCTGGGGAGAGGCCGAGAGAGGGGGAGACACAGAATCCAAAGCAGGCTCCAGGCTCTGAGCTGTCAGCCCAGAGCCCGACGCGGGGCTTGAACTCGTGAACCCTGAGATCATGACCTGAGCCAAAGTTGGATGCTTAACCAACTGAGCCAGCCAGGCGCCCCAACATTTATAAACTTTTTAATTTCTAAAACTTTTGAGTTCATTGTGCAAAATACAGTTAACATCAAGTAGGAAAAGAAAAGCAATCTCAGATGCCCCTGCTTGGATAGACTCACTGATGTCTGTTTTCTGTGCTGTTGTGTGTGTGTGAGAACATATGGAGTCCGCTTTTCATTTCCTGAGTGCATTTCATGTCCTGGCCTCTGCATTTATGTGACACTGTAAGGTGCCGTTTCTTTTCAAGTACTAGCTTTGTTCTTGGACTTCTGTCTTCCTCCCATGATTTAAGTCTACAATGTCACGTTCCAGTCAAGTTCTCTCATTGTGATCTCACACTGACTGGCTGTCACCTGAAGAATTCTTTCCTTTTCTTTCCACCTGGAAGCCAGTGTCCGCACACACTCTGCTTCCTTGAACAGTGAACGAAGGCCTCTCTGTCTTTAACTCCCACTTCAGGGCACTGGCACCTGCCCTCTCTCTGCCCAGAATGTTCTTTCCCAAGTTCCCTGCTCATTCCCTCCCTTTGGGTCTCATGTATCACCACCGCATTGAAGTCTGCAGGCCTCCCGCATCCCAGCCCTGTGTCTGCTTTGTTTTCCTCCAAGGTGCCTACCACATTCCCAGACCACAGAAACACACCGCTGTTCCTGCATAGCTCTGCCCCTTGGAATATGGGGACAGAATTTGCATCTTGGCATCTGGCATCCAGCAGACATGCATTCAATCAATGCCATCCCAATAAGGAGGACAGAGAGGACCTGCAGAGCTGTCCAGGAGAGACTGTGCTGGGTTTGAAATAAAGGGATTCCAAATGGGCCAGGTGAGTGTGGAAGGCTGCATGGTGTAGGTGACCAACAGCAAGAGGCAGGGGGAAGGGGACAAAATCGGGGAGGGCAAACAAGGCAAGTAACAGAAGGGCCCCCATTGCTGGGGACGGTGCTCACACAGAAGCCTCTGCCTTCTCGGGCCTTGTCTTGAGAGGCTGGACTAGGGGCGGTCCAGGGCATTTGTCATTGTGCTGGCCTCACACAGCTATGGTAACAGATGGATTCATTCAAACCAATTCACTGGTACAGACTAGTTCCAGCCAGTTCAGTCCAGATGAAGCAACACAAGCTAGATGGGAGCCAGTAAGGGTGGTGAGGGTCCCATCACTGTTGTTACTCCCCAGGCTGCAGAGCCGAGATACAGCGGGAGGTGAGTTTCCTCCCATCTAGTGTGTGCGCATGGGCGGTGGGGCTGGTGGCGGGGGAAGAGGCCAGTGTCATCTCTGCTCTCAACTGCTTCTCCTTCAGGGCATCCTGTCCTGCTCGGTTTACCCTTTTAGCACGTGACTCTAGTAAGTCCCTCTCTTTCTACTGTTTTTGCCAAGGATATTTTTGCTCTCCTACCCCCACCTCGAGGCCAAAACGGCTACCTGTCGGCCACCTGTGCGGCCACCTGTGCACCTGTGAGGCCAACTGCAGACGCGTGGGCGGGGAATCTGCGCGGACCCCCGAACTTCCCTTCAGGGAGCGAGCTCCGGGGTGAACGCCCATCCGCTGCCCTAGAGACGCGGACTCCCTCGGGCCTTCCCGCCCGCCAGGGCCTCAGTCTCCCCTTCAGTAAACGGTGGACGCGGAAGCACAAGGCGGGGCGCCATGGCGGCCCCTCCCCCAGAGGCCGCGCTCCCGCCCCCGCTCTACGGCCCCAGCAACGAAAGGCCCCTCCCGCCGTGCACCGCGGCGCGCCGCGGCGCCTCGAAGCCCCGCCCACTTCTCCGCCTCGGGCCCCGGCCTTAGCTCCCGATAGGCCAGGCTCCTAGAAAGGCTGCCTCCTTATTGACCGAGAAGCTTCAAGCAGCGCGCTCGAGATTGGTGGAAGTCCGTGTCGCTCCCGCCCCGCCTCCGGGCGCGGCACGCGATTGGCTGGCGTCCGCAAGGTCTCCTCTCGGGATCGAGTCTGGGCGGCGCGGACCAGGCCCTTGGTAGCAGCGGCGGCGCCGGAGGAGGTGGCTGTGGCGCGAGGCAGGTGAGCTCGTTGGCGGGGGTGGGGGCATGGGCCCGGCGAGGCCAGCTGGGGGCACAGGACTGGGGCCAAGACGTCCCTCACGGCGGGCGGGAGCTGCGGGCAAGGGGCGACGGGCCCTGGCCGAGCCGCGGGCCCCGCCTGGGCGGCCAACGGCCGCCGCCCCCTCCTCAGTCCCGAGCGTCCTCGTACCTGGCCCGTGTTCTGAGCAGGCCTGTCCCGGGGCGTCCTCTCCGCCAGACGTCAGTGGCGTGCCTGGGCCCCGGTGGGGCTCTGGGGACGCGTGCGCGCGCGGGAGCCTCTGGCGCTGCCGTCCCCCGACCACCCCGGGTGCTCCCACCCCCCGCCTCTCTTACACGCTGGCTCCCCTGACTTCCCTTACCCACGCACCTTCGATCCCCGCTTCCGTCCACACACCTGGGCGAGCTGGCGCCCCCAGACCCCGGCTCCCCTCACTCGGTCGCCACTGAACCCAGTCCCCCAACACACCCGGGAGGCCCGGACCCCCTACTCCCCCCACACCAGTCTTATTCGGGCGCCCCTTACTCCTGTCCCCCTTACCCCACTCGTTTCGTAGCCGGCCTCGGAGTGCTCGGCCTCCCCGGAGTCCTGGGTTGGGTCGAGGGGCGTCCGGCGTGTCCGGCTCGCGACGCCTCCCTTCACCTGGTCTGCAGCCTGCCGTCAGAGTGCACTCGTGCGGCCGTGCGGGGCTCCCACCCCGCCTCGCAGGGGTGAGCCCCAGGTCCTGTCGCCTGCTGCACCTTCGGTGTCCAGCCGCCAGGTAGCCCGGTAGCTGGCGCTCTGCCGCTGTTTGTTGGCAGGTTACTCTCCCCCCCCCCCCAGCACCCCTCCTTGCTCGGCCCTCCAGTGCCTGTCTCTAACCCCAAGTTGGAAAGTCTTCCCGGTTTTGTGGGCGTTTCCCGAGCCCCCAGGGCTGCTGTTCAGGTGGGAGCTGCCCTTGCCCTCCGTCCTGTGTGTACTGTGTGTACGAGCCGCTTTCCTCCCCGGCGCTTCGGCGCGCAGAACCTTGGGTTTTGGTTTCTTTTCATCCCTGTCGGTGGACAGTTTAGAGTTCTTCCAAGGTGGGAAACTCAGGATGGTTAGTTAGTTCTGGGAATTTTCTCAATTCATTTTCTTTGACGATTTTCTCCTCTTTATTTTGTTTCAGTTTTCTTTTATTCTGTGTAATTTAGAAATACTATTATTTGGGTATTGGACCACTTGGATCCTATTTCTGCTTAAAATAAAATTCTCTCTGTTGTTTTCCATGTTTGTCTTTTTGTTTCACTTTGTAGGAGATTTCCCCAATCTTCTTGTAACTCCTTTGTTTAGCATTTTATGTTGGCTATTATATTTAAAATTTTTTTAATGTTTATTTGTTTTTGAGAGAGAGCAAGTAGGACAGGGGCAGAGAGAAAGGGAGACACAGAATTGGAAGCAGCTCAAGGCTCTGAGCTGTTGGCACAGAGCCCTCTATGTGGGGCTCAAACCCAGGAACCGCGAGATCATGACCTGAGCCGAAGTCAGTTGCTCCACTCACTGAGCCCCCCAGGCGCCCCTTGGCCATCATATTTTAAATGTCCCAGAACTTTTTCCCTCTAAAACTTAGTGACTTATTTCTCATTTTGTAAATGCGGTAGCACCTCCTTCGTTCCTTCTGTAACCTCAGGCTTTGCTTGCTCTGGTGTGTCTTTGCTGAAATGTTGGGTGGTCTGAACGTGCTTGTGTGAGGAGGGGTCCTGCACGGCCCTTTGGAACTGCTGTGCACCTGCTTTGGTCTTGTCGCTATTGGCTGATAGCAGTTGGCTTTCCTCTTCTTGAGGTCCTTTTATTGGGTTTTCAGAGTTGGGTGGAAGAGGTGTGGGTGTGGCCTTCAAAAATTATAAGGAAATGCCCCTCCTCTCCCCTCCAGGAAGGCATCCTGGAAATTGTGTGTTCCCTTCTCCTCGGGGGTAGAGAACCCTTGGTGTTAAGTTCCAGTCTTTTTTAAAAGCAGGTTGAAAGGGGGTTCATGGCTAGTCCCTAACCACTACTTTTTCTTTTACTGTGGTGGAACACTTGTCACAGAATTTGCCACCTGAATCCATCTGCACAGTTCAGTGGCGTCCAGCATGGTGCGCAGTCATCACCACCGTCCAGTTTCGTAGCTGCGCCCTCCAGGGGAGCCCCAAACCCCTTAGCAGGCATGCCCCCATTGCCCCCTGCTTCTGAGCTCTGGTGTCTGCTAACCTGTTTTCTGTCCATGACTTTGCATATTTGGGATTTTTTTTTATATACGTGGATTCATACAATCCATGGCCTTTCATGTCTGCTTTCTTTCCCTTAACATAATTTTTTCAAGGTTTATCCATGTTGTACCTGGTCAATACTTCATGCCTGTTTATGGCCGAATGATACTGCACGGCATGAATATACCACAGTTCTTTCATCCATGCATCTATTAGAGGACTTTTGAGTTTTCCTTTTTTGCTTATTATGAATAAGCTCCTGAGAACATTTGTATTTGAGTTTTTGAGGACTTGTTCTCAGTTTTATGGGTATATATCTAGGAGTGGAGTTGCTGGGTCGTATGGTGGCTCTATTTAACGTGTCGGGGAACCACCCAACTGTTTTCCACAGTTGCTGCATCATTTCCCATTCCCACCACCTGGGTGCAAGGGTTCCAGTTTCTCCGTATTGTCTCCTGCACTTGTTATCTCTGGTTTGGCTTTGTTCTGTGTATAATGGTCTTCCTAGTACATGTGAGGTGGTAGCTTGTTTTGGTTTGCATTTACTTAATAACCGATGGCATCTTTTCATGTATTGGTTGGCTATGTGCATCTCTCCTTTGGAGAAATATCCATTCAGGTTCTTTGCCAATTTCTAAAACTGGGTTGTTTGTCTTTTTGTTGAATTCTAAGAGTTGTTTATATATTCTGGATGTTGGACCCTTACCAGATGTGTGATTTGCATATACTTTATCCCATTCTTTGGTTGTCCCTTCCCTCTTTTGGTAGTATTTTTTGATGCGCAGAAGCTTTAGATTTGATGAAGTCCAGTTCATCCATTTTTTCTTGTGTTGCTTATGTGTTATGTGTTTGGTATCATATTTAAGAAACCATTTTCAAATCCAGGATCGTGAAGATTTACCCCTATTTTCACTAAAGAGTCTTAAAAGTTTAAGCTCTTGTATTTATGCCTTCCATGGGTTTTGAGTAAATTGTGTGTGTGGTGTGAGGTAGGGGTCCAGCTTTATTCTTTTGCGTGTGGATGTCCATTTGTCTTAGCATCAACAGACTGTTGAAAAGTCTGTTCTTTGATCTTGGCATCCTTGTAGAAAATCAGGTGGCCATAAATCTATGGATGCATTTTTGGACTCTCAGTTCTGCTCTCTTAGTCTATATGTGTCCCCTGATGCCAGGACCAACACTGTTTTGTAGTGCATTTTGGAATCAGGAAGTGTGAGTCCTTCAACTTTGTTACTCATTTTCAAGATTGTTTTTGGCTATTTGGGATTCATTGCAGTTCCATAGGAATTTAAAGATAATTTTATCATATTTGCAAAAAACATTGGGATTTTGATAGAGATTGCATTGAACCTGTAGATCATTTAGGAATATATTTCTCTGTTTCAAAATATTAAGTCTTCCAGCCTACGAATAAAGAATGTCTTTCCATGTATTTTTCTTTCATTTCTTTCAGCAGTGTTTGTAATCTTCAGTGTGCCAGTTTTGTACTTTTTGGTTAAATTTATTCCTAAATTTGTTCTTTTTGATGCTGTTGTGAGAAGAATTGTTTTCTTGATTTTATTTCCTGTTTGCTCATTGTTAGTTTATAGAAACACAACTGATTTTTGTGTGTTGCTCATGTATCCTGCAACCTTGCTGAATTTGCTAGCTTTTACAGTGGTTTTTTTGGTACATTTTTTAGGATTTTCTATACATGAGATCATGTCATCTGTGAATAGAGATGGCTTTGCTTCTTCCTTTTCAGTTTGACGCCTTTTGTTTCTTGTTCTTGCCTGATTGCTCAGGCTGGAGCTCCAGTACAGTGGTGAATAGCAGTGGTGGAAGCGGGCACCCCTGTCTTGTTGATCTTAGGGGAAAGCTTTCCACCTTTTACCATGGAGTATAGTGTTAGTGGTGGATTTAAGTAAATGCGTCTTATCAGGTTGGGGAAATTCCCTTCTGTTCCTAGTTTGTCAAACATTTATATCATGAAAAGAGTGTTGGATTTTGACAAGTGCTTTTCTTGCGCCACTTGAGATGATCACGTGGTTTTGTCAATTTCTTAAATAGACTTTGGGCTTTCGATTCTTCCTGTATTTTTGGTTCTTTTCTACATGCTGACTTCTAGATGTACACGGGTGCCACTATCTTAACCATTTGAGGATTGGATTATTTCTCCGCGTTCCTCATTGTAAGTTTATGATCTAGCTTTTTGTGTATGTGTGTTTTCATTTAGCATAGGTGTGTTTTCATTTCACTCCTTTGCTTTCTAGCTTCCAGGGTCTTGCTGTTGTCTTTTCTTCCTTTTGTTCTGCTCTGTGGATATATGCCTTTAGGAAACAATTTCCTTTTGGGAGGGGTGTTGGAAGAGAGTGGGAGCTACCATCTTTGTTCAGTGCACCATTTTTTAAATAATTTTTTAGTTTATATTTTGGGGAAAGAGAATGTGTACAAGCCGGGAGAGGGGCAGAAGGAGGGAGGGAGAGAGAGAGGGAGAGAATCCCATGCAGGCTCCATGGTCAGTGCCAGCCCAACGTGGGGCTCAATCCCACAACCCCGGAATTGTGACCTGAGCCAAAATCAAGAGTCAGACACTTGACCAACTGTGCCAACGAGGTGTGCTCTCCCCCCATCCCCCCCACCCCGTGCACCATTTTAAACTGGAAATTCTTGGGTGACCTATTTTCAGAGAATGCTGGCATTTGATTGAGTGTCTGCTTATAACCATTGTTTCCTGGTCTGAATTTATGATGATCAAATGGTCTCCAGATTCTGAAAATAGAGCCGATTTGAATT